AGAATAAAAGGACACATTTTCCATTTCAGGGACACAAAGCAAAAGCTGTATATGTTACTTATGCTTACATTCTCTTGACCGGAGTTTAGTTACGTGGTCCCCCTCAGCTACAGCAAGGCTGAGAAATAATCCCAGCTAAACTCAGATTCTGATCTTTATGAGAACATGAAAAGTTTAGCTGCAGCATGTCAAAAGTTGACACTTTAGTCTCAGATGAATGTTCACTGGACTATGTTGACTGAATATTGGAGTGTGAGGGAAAAATCAAAGCAAAATCATGCATCAGCAAAATGCTGAAAATATATTGTCAAAAAGCAAGCTTAAAAAGCGAAGCATAATTGAGTATTTTATGCATATTAAGGATCTTAGCAAAAGAAGCTCTTATCACTTTAAGTATATTGGACTTTGACTACACTTAATATGCTTTGTAAAATAAAATCATGAACAGCCTAGCTATATGGAAGTTTCTGGCTTGTCCGTTTTCTGAAACTTTATGGCAGAATCAGCATTACTGAGAAAGCTAATTGCTTTGGGAAGTCAAGTTTTCAGCTACGAATACATAAAAATAGATTCCAGTACTTTCTAGAAAGAGCTTCTCTGTTGGGCCTTATATAGTATAGTTGTCAGCCAGGCATGGCGGTGCATACCTGTAACCCCAGCACTGTAGGAAGGTGAGGCAGGAGGATGACAAGTTTGTGGCTCACCTGGGAAATTTAGTGACTTAGCAAGAGCTTGTCTCTAAGTTAAAACAAAACAAAAAACTGGCTAGGGATAGAGCTTACTGTGAAGGCTCTGGATTAAATTCCCAGTAACACACACACACACACACACACACACACACACACACACACACACACACACACTCATGGTACATTTGTCCCTCGGTATCTGTGGAGGTTCCAGGACATCAAACTGCAAGGATGCTCAAGACTCTTCTCTAAAATGGCATGGTATTGTAACTTATGTACACCCTCTCTTATATGGTAAATCATCTCTAGATTCCTTGTAACTCTTAATACACGAAAATGCTGTCAATAGTTGTTACACTGCATTGTTTAGGGAATGATGCCAAGGAAAAATCCTCCTGTCTCAGCCTCCTGAGTGCTGGGATTAGAGGTGTGTGTCATCATACCCAGCCCTTTCTTTGAATGTTTTCTGTCAGATTGAATATTTTCTGAATCTACAAATGTGAAACCCATGGATACAGAGGGTTAGGGTTGACTCTACTTTGACTTTGTGCATGAAGAATGCTCTATCGAGTCATGTGTTTGGAGGATTAATTCATTGATGAGTTCAAAGCTGACTGCTGGTTGTAGATGGAATCTACTAGGAAGAAAGAGGCAGATCACTGGGGCTTACATAGAAGAGTGTGCTCACGTCCCCAGCTTCTGCCCTGCCCCCTGCTTCCTAGCCACCATGATATGAGAAGCTTCCCTCCACCAGGCCCGTCCACAATGTGGTTTACACCTTAGAACCCGCCCACCATGGGCTGAACCCACCGAAACTGTGAGCCACAGTAAACATCCTTTAAGTTGTGGGTGTCTGGTATTTTGTTCCAGCAATGGGAAACTGACTAATATATGTAATAAAGGTACAAACGCTGTTTCTGAAAGTCTGTCTCATATGTATACCCTGAAGAGTTAAGAGAGTAGGATGCAGTATCTCTAGTCTTCCTTATCTCATAACCATTTATTAGTAACCGATTTATCTGATTCATAAGTTGCCATAGTGGGAGAGAGATTTGAATCAACATCGTCTGTATTTCAGCTGGAATAGTAAGCTATATGTGTCAACACCAATCCAATGTGAGTGACCAGGGACCATTGTGAGGATGTTGAGTTAAAGAGGTCTGTGTCTGAGTCCTTTGCTGCACAAAGGATAAGTGTCTGGTGGCTGTCACCAGAAGAGTAGGGGTGGCACACAAATTTTATTTAGGGAAACTTATTCTCCAAGGCTACTTTTTCTGAGAGCTTTTAATCTTAGCATGTCTGAATTGGAAGCCACATACATTATTATGATGGTCCAAGTCACTGTTGTCTAGTATATTCGATTTTTTTTTCCTCTAAGCATTCCCTACTTTTTTTTTTTGAGCTAGTTACAACACTGTATCTTTAGGACTGTGACCTTTAAATGTATATATTTTGAAGAATTATGAACCAGAGTTAAATTTTTATACTGAGAGGATGAACAAAGCCAGTACTTTGGGGAGTTTAATGTATGGGAGCTCTATATTTCAGGAGTAGTTTGGATATTTGTTCCTGTATTTAATGAGCCTTTTTTTTTTTTTTTTTTTTTTTTTTGGTAACAGGGATCAAACTCAGGACCTTGCACTTGCAAATCAGGCAGTGGAACTACTAAGCTAAATCCCCAGCCCAAATGAGCCAAGTTTTTAAAAAGACTGATTACATTTCTCTTCTTTTAAATTTTGTATTTCTATAATTATAAACATTTTTATAAGCCTTCATGGGATTAAAATAGTACTAGGTATTAAACCCACGTGCTTGCACATGCTAGGAAAGTACCCTTTCCCTGAGCTATGACCACAGCTCTCCCCGCCCCACCCTTTTTATTTTGAGGCAGAGTCTTGCTGTGTTGCCCAGGCTGGCCTTGCACTCACGATCCTCCTGCCTCAGTTTCCCGAGTAGCTGGGATGATAGGCACACACCACTGGGTTAGGCAAAGTTGTTCTTCTCCAAGAAACACTGTCAGTTAATGAAAAATATACCGTACTGAACTGAGATTCGGAGACAGTAGGCTGTTGTCGCAGGGCCCGTTGGAAGGATTTTGTTCCATGTTTAATAAATTAGACACCTAGTTAATAATTTGTAATGAGAAAAGTCCCCACCCAATGAGCAAAAGGTCAATATCCATTGACCAAAAACCTAAATCCAGTCTCTGGGAATTAGGGAGAAGATATTATTTATTTCTGATGGGATTTTAATCCTTCTATGTCAATGTTAGAGGCTTGGTTTGCTTCTTTCTTTGTTTTTGGTACCAGGGATTGAACTCTGGTCCTTGTGAGGAAGGCGCTGGAACCACTGAGCTAAATCCCTGCTCCCCAGAGGCTTGGATTAGAAAGCCTGTAAGGTTCCTTTCAGTTTTAAAAAATCCATATCCCTTGGTCTGTGTGATGGAAAGGGGAAGCAGTGCAGAAAACTTCGCCAATAGATGGGTCGAGGATTAATGTGATTATTTATGGATGAGGTGGGTATTATCACCCTTTTTTTTATAGATGAAGAAACTGAGATCTGCAGGTGTAGGCAACTTGCTAAACACCCAGGAGTGGGTGGCAGCCCTGGGGGTGAACCAGGGTCTGTTGGACCGAGTGTGGGGCTGGATGAATCTGTGCCTTTTCCCTGTTGCATGGCAGCAGTTTTGAGAGATGTTTATCCATGGGCTATAAACCGCCTGAACAAGAATTTTTACTTTTTAACACAGTGAGTATTGGTAACAGTTCTCTAAGAATTTTTTTTTTTACATTCATCACATATGTATCATTTGAAAGTAGAATAAGTAAAGAGATCTCTGAATATCAGTGGCAAAATATAGCCCACTCTTCCTTCCAATCTAAAAAGAAAAAGAAAAATGAGGAGAGGGAGGAGGAGGGGGAGGGAAAGAGTAGGAAGAGGAGGAGGAGACAATTATTCATGAACAGCTTCCAAAAAAAAAAAAGCAAAAGAGAACAACTTTAAATCAGAAATTTCAAAAAGCAATGGTGGAGGTGTAGCTCAGTGTAGACAGAGTGCTTACCATGTGCAAAACCTCGGGCTTAATTTCTGGTGCCAGAAACCAAAATAAAACAACAAAGAAAAATACTTCCGCTATGGCCAAGGAAAGTGAGAAAGGTTGTATGGCTCCTTCTTTCACACTTGCCCTGCAGGAATAGTGTTGAGAACCTTGATAATCTGTATTGTTCTCTTCCAATTTGGAAGGAAGTAGAGGGAGTGAGCAGGGGGCCCTGGGAATAATAAAGGAAATCACCTTCCTGGCTCCTGCTATTCCGCGTCCCTGTGCTGAGCTGGGGGAATGAGAGGCTGGGCCCTGTTCTTGGATGCAGTGTGTGACTGGTGGCTCCCATCTGGTGTGGCTCTTCCCTTGTAAACCACAACACACCATGGCCAGAGGTTAACCATAAGGGGATTGGAAACAACCTTAGACTTCAGCTGCAAATGGGGCAGATAGGCTGATCGTAGACAGAGTAGGAATTACACCAAACCAAATGAGAAGTCAGGGAAGAGCGCTGTTATGTAAACTGAGGAAAGTGAAGAGAAATGGGTGGGAAGTCAGTGGGCACATTAGATCAGGAGGAACAAGGAGGAAGGAGGTGGAGAAGTGTGAGAGACCGAGTGGGGAGGGGAGAAGGGAGAAGATGGTGTAAAAAGATGTTTTAGAAGAAGTGTTATCTCCAAACGAGAGAGCTTCCCTGAAGTGCTTTAAAGTATAGAGGAACTTTATATTATCTTCAACAGAATGCAAGGATAATTTTTTTTAACAGCTTGTCTTTATTGTCTATCCCCAAGAGTCACATGGCCCTGTCCCCTGTAAAACATGGGGAGTCCATGTTTCTGTTACCACCCACTGCTCTGTTGGATGTCACATGCATGAACAAAGCCATTCAATACGTATATTTACAAGAGTTTGAGGGGACTATGAGCATAAGGCTATGAGCATATAACTATAATACATGAGATAAAAACCTCTCTAAAGACAAAGTATTTACGTACATTTATCAGTCAAAATATCTATTAAAACACTATAAGGGGAATACAGATATGCATAGTATCTCACTATTACTTCAAATATACATAGTAATATTTCTCTAAGCAAAATACGTAATAAGCTAATTCAGTTTATACAAGGTAATAAAGGAATCTCTGACATGCCTATAGACCTATTGTTACATTTGAAGTAATTCCCTGACACTCTACAGGGCATCTCCAATTGCCATCAAGACTGTGGGGAACCAGATCTATACAAATGGCAGAGGTCCAACTCCTAATTCATGGGAGACTTGGTCCCAGAGGAGGACTCATCCCCCATGGTCCTACCATGGGCTCGCTGGCTGTGGGAGTCCGCTGTGGTGTTTCTGCTTTACTGCTCCCCTGGCCGCTGTTCTTGAGGCCGATGTCCTCAGGGCTCCAGGGTCCCCGAATGAGGGTGCGATCTCGGCCCCACACCCAGAGTGTAGGGTCGTAAGCTTGGATCTCCTCACACTCCTCTGGGGTCACTCTGAGGTTCCAGTCCATGCAGCGGATGAACTGGTAGCGCAGCTTGTGGAACTGGGGGATCTTGTCGAAATTCATCCCGCAGACGAAGAAGAACATGTGTAATTTAGGCTCCTGGTTGTCCTCCTCCATGTCATTGGCCAGGTAGAGCGCCAGGAAGAAGTGGATCCTCTGGTACTGCCAGGGGAAGAGGCCGGCCCGGCTGAAGTAGGCGACAACCATGGCCAGGAGGTTCTTGTCAGAGGCCTTCAGGTTTACGTCCCAGGCCAGGAATCCTTTGATGACAGGGTCCTCAAGCAGCCTGGCGAAGGCCTCGTGGTGCTCAGGCAGTACTGAGGACAGGTGCTTCCTCTTCATCTTTCTCTTGAGGCCATAAGGCTTCTCCACAACACCTGTGTGGGTCAGAGGCACAGGGCCTAGTGGTAGCAGTGGTACCTGCTGCTCCTTTTCCAACAGGGACAGATACTCTCTCCACCTCTTGCGAGGTGGGAGCCTGATGTCTTCCCTGAGGGCTACATCCATGCACTGGGGATGTCCCCTCTCCTCATCTTCCTTAGCCTTTGGTGGCCACTCCCTCTTCCATTTGTGGCCACAGGACTGCGGTGAGAGGCTGAGGTTCCTCCTCAGGGCAGTGTCGGAGCCCCCGACCCCGGGTCTCTCCTCCTGCTGCATCTCTGATTCTAAATCTTTAAGAGAGGCGTTCTGCTTCTTCTGGACAGGCAATGGAGGCAGGAAGCAGGGTGCTAGACTAGGGACTCCAGTGACGAGGCCCACCAGGTCCTCCTGCGATTCATCCTCAGAATCTGAAGACCCATCTCTCTTCCACTTCTGAGCACAGACCTGAGGCAGCAGGCGGGGTGCTATCCAGACACCTTGTAGTCCAGGAGACTTCTTGAGTGGGCCAGGCATGGCAGTACACGCCTGTAACTCCAGTTCTTGGGAGGCTGAAGTAGGAGGATGGGATGGAAGGCTGTAGAGTCCCACTGGAAGCCTGGAGATGAGGCCAAAGAGTGGAGCTCCTCAGAAGAAAAGGGAAGTGAGCCCTCCTTCTTTTCCCTTTTTACCATTCTGGGTCCAATCCTCCCTAGGGTGGGTGTACTCCTCCCTAGGGTGGGTGTACTCCTCCCTAGGGTGGGTGTACTCCTCCCTAGGGTGGGTGATAATCCTTCCTAGTGTGGAGAAGAAGCTTAGTTCTTCCTGAAGACAGAAGACCTACTCTGGGGCGGAGTATGGTAGCATGTGCCTGTAATCCCCCGTAATCCCAGCACTGGGGAGGCTGAGGCAGGAGGATCATCTCAGGCCATCCCTGGGCTACATAGAGAGTTCAAACCCAGTGAGCCTGAGCTATGTACTGAGACCAAAGGTCTAAAAAAAAGAAAGAAAAAAAGGAGACCTAGACTTAGATGTGTCTGACTGAAATCAGTAGGCTTCCTGCCTGAATGAAATAGGAGGGAAATAAAGAAGGAAGGCTAACTTCTGTCTCTTTGGTGGCGCTTCAGTCTTCACCCTCACCTTGGATGTCATCTCCTGGCTTCCAACACAGAACCTCAGTCTGCTGGTGTGGACTCCCAGGGCATGCTACAGTGAACTTCGGGCCTTCAACTGGATCCTTCGTATCTCCAGTGCACACACAGCCCTTTTGCACTTTTCTAGACCTAACAATGTGGGCAGCCAGTTTAAACCAATCTTTTTTTTTTTTTTTTTTTTTTTAGACAGGGTCTCTCTGTGTAGATCTGGCTGGCCTTGAGCTCACCATGTAGCCCAGGCTTATGATCCTCCTGCTTCAGCCTCCAGAGTGCCAGCTTCACAAGCATGAGCCACCATACCTCTCTAAACCAATCTTGTAAAACTTCATATACTTATACATCTGGCATTAAATCTGACACAGATTTGGGCACTGGAAGTGACTCTAGGGGAGAATTGTAAAGATGAAATTTTTAAATGGCTTTAGTGGTTCCTGGAGTTGGCTCTCTAATTTGAGGAGACCTACAGACACCCTGGTCTCTCCTTATGAGGTAACTATTAATTTGCCACCTTTAACCATCTGAACTAGATTTGTGGTTATATAACAAAATAGAACAAACTAGATAATTGTATACAATAAATAAGCTCTTGATATGGTGATTTTTACCTCAAGAGGAGAAAATTTAGAACAGATTGGGGGAAAAATAGAGAAACAGAAGAAGAGATTAGAAGCAAGGCCAGAGGACAAAAAAGATCACACAAACTTTGGGAAACTGGTGAACAAGACAAGAGGAAAAGAGAGAAGGAAGAAACAAAAAACAAGAACAGAACAGAACAATAGCAAAGAAAGTAGAAACTGTGGTAACAATCATGTAAAAACAAGAACAAACAATCAAGAAAAAATAAAACAGAACAGGAATAAAAACCAAAAAAGAAGAAAAGAAAAGGAAAAAAAGGAGAAAGAAAGAAAAAAGTCCAATTGAAGATGTGTCTCTGCTGTCATTGTTAGACCAGAAGGCAGAGACCAGAAGGCAGAGTCCAGATCCAAGTTGTTTAATCCCAGTAAGCCAGATGTTGATTTATGGTGGGGTGGTGGATAATCCCAGCAAGCCTGGATTTTTAGGTCCACTGAAGTTCAGGCTGGTTTCTGGCTATGAGGCTGGGACTGGATTTGTTGAATCTGCCACAGTCCATGTGCCTCCTGCCAGCTTGAACTCTGCTCCTTGACCACCGTTGACTTGAACTCAGCACTCTCACCAAAATGCAAAGAGCCACTGAGCTGAGTTCTCAGCTCGATTGGTCCCTCTCCAAAATGGCTACCAGCCAATCGCCCTGATGTGGGTGATCTCTGAACCCAAATAACTCACCAGCTGCTGCAGTCCGCTATGTCCACTGCTGCATTCCGCTGGTGCGTTTCTCTGTGGAAGCCGCTGGGATCACTAGCAGTCACTTTGTGCCTGCCCTTTCCATACCATGAGTCCGAACTCTGGGACAAAGCCCCTCCTGCCATGTCCCTTTTCTTCACTGACGTCTCTTTTTCTTTCGGTTCTCCCCATGGACCTCAGTTCTCAATTGAGCTCCTTCCTGGGCCCCAGGAATCCACTTCCCTCCTTCTTCTCTTCTTCGTGTTGCTATATTACCATGTCGGACACCAAGTCCTAGAAAGGTTCTTTCTCTGTTGCGCCGCACTCCACCATCTTTCTCATCCTTTCGGAATTTTATGATATTATTATTCTATAAAACAAAGGCCCAGAATTGATCAAACCACAGAATGGAAAGAATAGGAGCAATTTCAGAGCTAAGGGAAGCTAATTGAGACCCAAAGAGAATCGGTTTAAATCTAATAGATAATTTAGAAAGAGCAAGTAATGGGCTGTAAATAGAATTCATGACATGGCAGAAATGCTTGCAACAATCAGTGAACACAGAGAAAAGAGATTAAAATAAGTAGATTAAAATAATATGGAGGACAGAGACTGAAATAATAAGATATATCTCTCTGTCCCTAGTCCAAGACCCAGCTCCTAAAACCCTTGTGAATTCCTGAGTATAGGGGTGTGAGGAGAATCTTGCGTGGGAATGTTCGGTCTTGGACGCTGGTTCCTGACACAGGGGTCCCAAGACATTTGTAATTTCCTGAGTGGTAGGAGTGGCTGACACCATTTCCTGAGTGTCACAATTACTTTTCCTGTTGCTGAGACAAAATACTTGACATCCAAAGTTACAGGAAGAAAGGCGCATTGTGGCTCGCAGTTTGTAGAGGTTTTAGTCCACGGTTGGCGGGCTCCAGGGCAGGGTAGCGTGGCAGAGGGACATCCTGCAGTAGAAGACAAGCGCAGCAGCAGCAATTAGCAACAAATGAGAAGCCACGACCACACCTGTTTCTGTTCTTTCGATCTCACTCATGCTACCCGCCCTTAGGGTGGGGTAGCACTCACACCCTTAATCCTAGCATCACCTTGAGAATCAATCCCAGCAGCACAAACCCTAGATCCAGCCACCTCCAAAAGGCCCCACCTATGACCCCATGAGCATCTAGACACAAATAATATGGAGTGACTAGATTGTGTTTGGTTGTGAGGCAACTCTTTCGTGGGTTCCAGGATGGGGGTTGATATCAGAAAGACCAGGCTGTGATTAGAAACCTGAGCTTTCAGCCCCAGCTCTAATTTTTGGAAAGGGGAGTGGCACAGGAAATGGAGGTAATGCCTACAGGATGAAGCCCCACTATAAGGGATTTAGAGAGCATCTGGGTTGGCCAGCATCCATAGGCCAGGAGGGTAGAGTACCCCAACTCTCTCTCCAGGGACGGAAGCTCCTGTGCTCAGGAACGTTCCAGGCCTGGCTGTTCATCTGTGTCCTTTATTAACAAACTGATAAGCACAAGTAAAGTAAGAAGTTTCACTGAGTTTCATGAACTGCTCTAGCAAACTGAGCCCTCGGAGGGGTTGTGGGAACCCTGAGCTGGTCAGTAAGAAGCACGAATCTGGGGTGGAGTGTGTGTCGTGGGACAGAACGGTTACCCTGTGGGACCTGAGACCATTTCTAGGTAGATAATGTGTGAAGTGAATTGAATTAGGGGACACTTGGCTGGTGTTCACTAGAGAATTTTTGGCCAATGCAGGGGGAAAATACCCACACATTTCAAGGACCAGAGGTGAAATATTCTGCATAGAAAAGCCAGGCATGGTGGTGCATGGCTGTAATCCCAGCACTTGGGAGGCTGCGGCAGGAGGATCACTGTGAGTTGCAGACCAGCCTGAGCTACACAGTGAGTTCTAGGTCAGTCTCAACTATATAGTGAGACCCTGTCTCCAAAAAAAAAAAGGGTAGAGAAAAAAGTTCTTTTTTCTTCAGAAAAACCATCCAACATAGTAATTGGTATGTAATAAAGGAAACTTAACATAATTAGCAATAAGGACATATTGTAGGTAAAAAAATAATAGATAAAGCACTATAAGCACCAAGACATATTCTAGTTGTTACTGATATACGAAGATGAGAACTCTTTAGCTGAAAGAAAAAGTCACACTTAGAAGGAAAGTTGGACTTGCTGTAGTTGTCTGCTCCAGTGTTCAAAGCCAGATGACAATGGAGCAATTCTACAAACTTCTGAGGACGAGAATGTGAACCAACAAAATTATTTCTCAGTTATAAAGTCAACAAGCCAAGGCAGGCATGATGATGCAAACCTGTAATCCCAGCCCTTGGGAGGCTGAGGCAGGAAGAGCAATGTGAATTCAAGGGCTACATAGTGAGTTCAAGGCCAGCCTGAAATACAAAGTAAGAGCCTATCTCAAAAAACTAAAATGTAAAAAAGTTAAGACTACAAACACACATTCCTCCCCTGGCTTGTGAGCAAACACAGGGAACACAGTGCTCAGATTTTCTGTGCAAAAGATAGAACCTGAAACCCCTCCTCAAACAAAACAAAAAAAGTTCCTTGCCATTGAAATCCAGAAAAAGATGTGATGAATACCAAGAATTTAGGAGTGGTAAAAGAACCAGATATTGAGCATTAAATCTATTTAAAAATAGAATGAAGGGGCCGGGAATTTAGCTCAGTGGTTTCACCGCCTGCCTCGTAAGTACAAGGATCCAAGTTTGATCCGTGATGCCAAAAAAAAAGAATGAAGACTACGTAACTAGAAATATCCTAATTACAGAACATACTGTGATGATTTACAGCCTGGCAAAGTAAAATATAATACACTATATATAATATAAACAGTGAAAAGAAATGATAAGGAAAAAGTGCAGGTAGGAGAAATTATTAGGACTTTTATCACCTAATTGGTTATAGCAGGGAGTCAATTTGTGATATCTGAGATTAAACTGCAGAACAGATACTTCTCAGACAAGCAAGCAAAAACAGCAAATAAATATATGAAAAAATGTTCAACATCACTGGCCATTTGAGAGATGCAGATGAAAACAACACTGAGATTCCACCTCACGCCACAAAGAATGGCTGCTATCATTAAATCAACCCATAACAAATGTTGGTGGGGTTGTGGGGAGAAAGGAACCCTTCTCCATTGTTGGTGGGAGTGCAGACTGGTGCAACCACTATGGAAATCCATATGGAGATACCTAAAAAAACTAGGATTAAAGGCCGGAGATTTACCTCAGTGGTTCTGCTGCCTGCTTCTCAAGCGCAAGGTCCCAAGATCAATCCCTGGCACAAACACACACACAAAACCAAAAACAAAAAACTAGGACTAGAGGTCCCATTTGACCGAGCTATCCCTCTGCTGGATATCTTTCTAAAAGAATTAAAACAATTGTACCACAGTGATATATGCGCACCCATGTTTATAGTGGCACAGTTTGTATTAGCTAAAATTTGAAAACAGCCCAATTGCCCATCAGTTGGAGACTGGATAAAGATGTGGTTTTTCTATAAAATGGAATACTGCTCAGCCATAAAGAATGAGAAATTAGATTCATTTATAGGAAAATGGATGCATATTGAGGCCATATTCTTAAGTGAAATAACTGGGGCACATGTGTAAATACCGAATAGTTTCTCTGGTATGAAAAACTAAAAGTGTAAATAAGGTTCAAATTGTATAATTTAATAATGTAAAATAGGAAGAAAAGGCTAAAGGAGTAGGGGAAGTGGAAAGGGTGGGGGAAAGGAAAGAAGGGCAAAGAAAAAATATGAGAAAAGGAAAAAAATGGAAACAAAGTCTTTGTAAATAGGAAAGGGTGGAGGGGGTGAAGGGAGGGCAGGGACAAGGGGAAAAATGAGAACCAAGACCTGTCATGCAAAGGTACAAGATCCCAATAATGAGTGTAACTGTACTGTATACCTAAAAAGTACCAATAAACTTAACGAAAATAAGTAAGATTTTATTTTTCTGCATAGAAAAATAACAACAAAACTTCCGAACCTTTAATGATTTACCAATGTCTTTGCTTAACTCGAGATCCAGGTGGTCAAGCCTGAGTGGGTGTGACGGATTTGCCTATGGCTGTATGTCAGTTTTGGAAGGCCAGTCCTTGTTTTAAAAACTTAAAAATGGAAATGTCAGGGCCAGGGATTTATCTCAGTGGTTCCACCGCCTGCCTTGTAAGCGCAAAGACCGGAGTTCGATCCCTGATACCGAAAAGAAAAAAGGAAATGTCTTTTGTTGGGGGTGCCTTGGCACTTGGCTCTCATTGTCCACCTTTTAATTCCACACATTAAGGAGACTGCATCTTCTCATCTTGGAATGACACACCTTTAGGAACAGATATGTCCTATGCTGTAGAATCATTAATTTGAAGTTCAGAAATTCTTAGTCTAAAATGAAATTGTAATCGACCAACAGGTATTTATCATTTGTTTTGTAAAGTGTGTTTTTCTTTGATATAACAACTGGTAATGCTGGGTGGTGGCGCACACCTGTAATCCCAGAACTCGGGAGGCTGAGGCAGGAGGATCACTGTGAGTTCAAGAAAAGCCTGGGCTACATAGTTCTTGTCAGTCTCAACTACATAGTGAGACCCTGTCTCAAAAAGCCACCACCACCACCAACAAAAAACATAGCAAAACAAACAGAAAACCCCAACAGTTGGTATTTCCCAACACAATGTAATTTCAGAAATCTGCCAACTCCACCTTTTTCTCAGTGTGGCTGCGGCCAGCCTTGAATTTCGGGCAACATGAATGACAGGGAGAGTGACTCTCGGAGAGATCTCTTCCCATGGTGCTCCGGGGAAGCTTTTCCTTATAAGCCGTCTTGCTCTATTTAAAACCTTAGAGGCTTAGTTGCTATCACTTCCTAGCTATTTCTTTGGCTCAAATTTAACTCTCAGTTCTTTAAATAGAGTACTGATTGGGACTGAAATGAAGCCAGAAGAAACAGCTGGTTGGCTTCAAAATCCTGGTTGGGAGGTTCTGGCTCCGGCTGGACAGGCTGAACTGGCCATTCTTAGATTGAGTGGGTGTCAGCCCCAGGGGCCGCTTTAACCTGTGGTGTGGATCAGGCTCCAGGAGGGACAGTGGATGAAGATGGGAAGGAC